CCCCGCGTCGCCCGCGGTTATCTCCCTTCTCCCGCGAACGGTGCTTACTCGCGTGGTTTTTACGAATCTCTCTGCTCCTCCAGCTTCGTGGGCCACGTTTTCCGCGACGGTGGTTACCAGGTGCAGTTTGCCGCTTTGCATTGCTGCCGCGGGGACAAGGTCCACATACACCTCTCGCCACTACCACCGTCTGTGCATCCTCACCGCCACGCTGAGCCAGCGCGGCGGTGAGTTGCACCTTGGGACACCACCCACCTACTATCTGTTGTGGCCTGGTTCGCCCGCGAGGGACTCACAAGGTCGATTTCGGCCCCGGCCGGGGAGCAGGCCGGGGAGGGGAGGAGGTAGATGTGTGTATATGATGAGAAGATTAATTAATTCGGGGGCCGTCAACCTTTCTGGTCGAACTTTTTCGGCCATGCAAAAATCGCCAGAGTGGCGAGAATCGAACTCAAGACGGGTCGGCTCACGAGGAGGAGTCTGTCTCCTATACCAGCCGTCTCTTCGTTCGACATTGGGGTGAAAAACTCCTTTTTCAACAGCAAACAACAACAAAAATAAATGGCCCTGGTGCCAGGTGTCCTGTACAGTCAGTGCAGCCCGGCTTCTGTATGAGCGAAATCAATCGTGTACGGAGGAACAGTTCTTCTACGAATCCTCTCACACTTGCCGCACTGCTCTGAATTTTTTAAGGGATGGTTCAGCCGTTGACGTCATGCAGGGAAGCTGGCTCCAATTTAATTAATCCATACAAACTCAAGTGATTTAGCAATTTCCGACTTCTGGGACACGATATATCGGAACACAAAGACTCAACAGACAGGGGCTAACGTACTTGACAACGTACCATGAAGCCTCTGGCTGATGCACTATCCACAAGAAACACACTCGCGGCAATGCACCATCCACGAGGAACAATCCTACAGAACGTTCCTCGCTGTTCTGATAATATGTGCCTGCTCAGCGATCTGCAACACCGCCAGTCCCGCAATTCAAACTGTCCAATCAAATTGTTTTACGTTACTCTGTCGACATCCACAGCAGCAACTAATCACGAACACAATCCTACAGAACGTTCCCCGCTGTTCTGATAATATGTGGCTACTCAGAGATCCGCAACGCCGACAGTCCCGCAATTCAAACTGTCTAATCAAATTGTTCTACGTTACTCTGTCGACACACACAGCAGCAACCATCACGAACAGCAGTCCGGTTATTCACCTCATGAGGTTGGCATGTGAGAGTGATGTCTACAGTCCTTATGTAGCCGGACCCCTTTTTGCTTCGGGACCGGCCGCATACTTGCGTCGAAATAAGTGCCCTTGTTCGTCTCTTTTTCCCGGTGCAGCTGTTATATGTCCTGGGTGTACTGCTGTAAAAGGGCGGGGAGTCGGCTACCGTAGTCTCTCTGCGATGCCTGTTGCGGTGGCGAGTGCACCCGATGGCTGGATTTTGAATCCGAGTCAATCTGTAATACTTTCGCCGCCGGCCCGCTGACAAGCATCTAGCGGCGAGGCCAGGCCGGAAGACTGCAAAAACTCCGGCCGCGACCGCTACGCCGCCGTCGGAGACTGCTCGGAAGGCTCCGTCCCGGAAAGGTCGCTGGGCGAAAACGGGCAGAACCCTGCGGACGATTCAAAAATGTGCTTCAACTTTACAACGCGTTGGTGTCTGACACCGGTGACAAAATCATTCGAGTGCTGACGGTGACTGCATCGAAGTATTTGCGCCGAGGGCTGAGTCACCCTTGCTGGACGCCGGGCATAGTTGAGCGAGTTTCAAGTCCTTGCACCGAGAAACCCGCGAAACCAACGAGGGATACACCACAATGTTGGAAGAGAGTTGAACTTTCATGCGTTTACGTTTTGAAACGGTGACATCGCACTACTGTGCTGTGAAGTACTGCTGTAATGCCACGGACGGTGTCTGTCTGTCTGGTGTCTAGTACTGGCGTAGTGGCGCAACGCGGGGCAGGAAGTGGGGGTGAGACGCCACGGCGGCAATACTTCAAGTACTGTAGTAGCATAGGCCAACAGGAGGCTGGCTGCTTGTTCAAGTACTGCTGTGCACGTACCGTCATAGTCGGAGAGATGGCACCGGTCGGAGAGATGACACTCGTCGGGAAGATGGCACCGGGGTGCGCAAAAATATACAAGAACGGGACGACTTATTTAGTTCGATTTACGCACCGGGTTCGGTGCGAGACCCCCGAATCCGAAATTGAACTCCTTTCAACTGCCGGAATGAGGTACATGTGCGTACGTTTTGCACGTGGGGACGGTGTCAGCGGAGCGCCACTCCTGTCCTGTATGTACGAATGCATGGTCGCGGTTCACGCGGGATGCCAGTTGCTAACCGTACACTCAACCAAACACAAAACGTGCAAGCCGCACCCTACCCCACCTTACACAACACGGAACTATTGTACCATAGAGGAAGACCGGAACGAAAGCGGAAGACAGCCTGATATCCTACGTACCAGTGCCTCAGATGGACACACCATCGTTTGTTCCCCTTTTCACGCCATAGACAAAGTCGGCTTCAACACAAGACCACTCGCTGTGCATGCTGTTACATACCAGCCTACGTCGCCGTTACCGGTGTGCTTCCAACCAGCAACAATGGTACCTACACGTACGGTGTGTTTCTATCCTGGTCAACAGCATTGTCAACTAGCGTGTGAAGAAGACAGTGCGTGTGGGTATGCCTACACTACACTGGTATCATACTATCGTACTGGTCTGGGAAATGCACCGGGGATGCGTGCATGCAATACCTGTGCGTATTTCATTAGGGATGGCACCGGTCGGAGATATCGCACCGGGGTGCCTCGAAAAAACTAAGCGTAATGATTTAGTTGCATTTCCGCACCGGGGTCGGAGAGATGGCACCAATCGGAGAGATGGCACCAATCGGAGAGATGGCACCGGGGTACAAAAAGCCGAGAAATATGAGACTGTTGTCTCCAGGTTCGCGTGTGAGCAAGTTCCCTTACGGATGGGCGGTGTGGATACACACCGGATCAACCTCTGGTGGAGAGGCTGATGTACGGAACGTTGAGTCGAGTCTGTGTGTGTGAGGCAGGTGGGGATCAACCTTGTGTTGAAGCAAGGTTCAGCATCCAACCTGCACTGACTCTATCTGTGGTAACACCCCGAAGGTAGATCTCCGACAGGTCATCTGACGTCACAATCTACGACAGTCTGAGGTGGCATTCACATCACCCCCCTATCTTCAATCTCGGGGCCTGAATCCGGATTGAAAGATACAAGAATGACATAAATACCTCAGATTGTATGAAATTGTGAAGTACTGATGAAAAACATGAGTTAAATGACTTGGGCCGAAACGTACGGCGACTGCCATCATTCAACGAACGCTTTGTGTTTTGTAGTTATGAAATTTGGAACGTGTCACCAAAATATCTCATCCGAGCATCGATCGTACATAGCGCAGTCACCACCACAGCTTGCACGAGAGCAATTCAGGAATTTTGGCAACTATTCCCGTACGACGAACGAATAACTACACAGATGACGAAAGGTGTACGGAACATGTCACTTCAGTCCGCCTCGGCGCTGTAGGCAACATGTGATCTACCGTACGACGAACGACGTGTGTACAGAAAAAAACATCACTTCGGTGCGCGTCTTGCACCGATAGTGTAAAAAAACTGCACAGTAGTACCTTGAGACAACGCCGTGAACTGTTTGGTAGTTGCACGTAACGAACATCCAGCAACGAAAAATAATTTGACATTGCACATGTGAAAGACGGTTGCTTGCAAGGCTTAAATTTCACAAGTGTCGAATGGCAAATGACGTGGGTCGACCCGCTGGGAAAACGTTGCTCAAACGATATGCAGCGGCAACAACGAACGAACATATGTGCACAGCTCGTGGAGAGCTAACGATACGACCTTCTCATGCGATCGCGCAATTGAGAGGTGCTGCATAGACGAACGACGACGAATGGTGAGTACGAGTACAGCCAACGATGTGCTGTAGCATGGATTTGATGCAGTAGTGGAACGAAAGTCTGGTCCTCTCGTGCTTCCTCTTGCACGGCCAAGACCACCATCGGATCCAGAAGTCGATTATCAATGGCAATTCCCCAAAACTGCAAATGAGACGATATCACCCCCCAATTCAGGACGGAGTGGACGAGAAAACGACGAACTTCCGATCACGCATATTCGCTCACATAAAGCATCAACTGACCCCATACGACGCACTCGTATCTCAAGGACAGCGACACAACGGCAATGGACGCTTCACACCATGCACGATTGTCTATAACGGACGTACGTTCCAATCATAATTGAAACGTTTACGGAGCTCGCACGAGGTACTATGTCGTACGGCATTCAAACAGAGAAATATATA